CTAAATCTGCCGTTCCCCATTTAAGATTATTCTAATATAACATAATACTAATGATAATTAAGTATAAGCGGGAAATAGAGTAAATGGGGCCCTGCACTCTATTGTGAAGAGTCAAAATGTGTCAAAAAAGGCACGTATGGCAATTCACAATGCTGTGTTGATCCCTACTTTAACGTATGGTAGTGAAAGTTGGGTGTGGCAGAAGAAGCACGAGAGTAGAATCAACGCAGTAGAAATGCGGTCCTTAAGGAGTATGTTAGGGTTGAATCTGAACGACAGGGTAAGAAATTGTGTAATAAGAGAAGAGTGTGGTTTGCAAGATGATGTTGTGACCAGGATTAAGAAAGGAATGCTTCGGTGGTTTGGTCATGTGGAAAGAATGAATGAGGAAAGAGTGACAAAGAAAATTTATGTTGCAAAAGTGAATGGCAGAGTCGGAAAGGGACATCCTAGGCGAAAATTTATCGACCAAATTGGCGAATTATTGAAAACGGGCCAAATTAGGAGTACCCTTAACCGACGAGCATGTATGTGTAGGTGTATGGATGTGAAGGAGGCGAGAGAGGTGTGTCAGGATCGTGCCAAATGGAAGTCTGTAGTCTCTGCCTACCCCTCTGGGTGACAGGCGTGAGTGTTTATGTATGTATGTAATTAAGTATAAGCAGTAATTGTCTTCTTTGCATCCGCTCTGCAACAGCTCACCCAGTGCCAGCTACTCATCCTGTAATAAAAACAAAAATTTAAGATTATTCTAATGTAACATAATACTATAGATAATTAAGTAAAAGCAGTATTTATGAGTCTTCTTTGTATACACTCTGCAACAGCTCGCCCAGTGCCAGTTACTCGTCTTGTAATTAAAATATAAAATTTTAAGATTATTCTAATATTACAAAAACAACACAGTCTAATTTAATATTACCTAAACAACATTATTACCTGTATATTCCAAGTAATCATCGTTGTAGCTGTAGTGTGTGCTCATGTAGCTATATATATGACAGCCTAATAGACATTCACGGAGTAATAAACCTACAGTCAAGACCACTAGACGTATTATCATTTATTCCCCGAAACTCCCAACATTACATGGCGACCCTGCCAGGCGGTGCGCTGCTAAAATGCAAGCGCACCGCCGGGACCTGCATAAGAAATAAAGTAATCTATTGAAGACAATAAATTAATCAAAATAAATATATGAAAATAATATAATAATAAAATGAACATTATGCCAAACGTGACAAATAAATTTTTAAATACGAATATAAGAAGACTACAATTTTTTTGACAAATCGAAGCCGATAATATACTTAAAGAAAAAATGTTATAGAAGAAATGAAGAAAAGACATGAAAAATAAATTATACAAGAGGCTCTACTAACATTGCTATTAAATCAAGATTGACAAGTTTCAAGAAAGAAGATTCCCAGATGTACAGAAAACTTCTTAATCAAAATTCTTTCAAGAGGCGAGTACCAACTTTATCAAAAGAAAATACGAAAGAAAAAAGAAGCTTACGAGGAAGTCCAGACCCAACCACATTGGTGAGCTAACAACATCTTCGAGTACTAGAGCAGCAGAAAGAAGTCAGGGGTACAACGAGCGATTAGCCAAGTTCTGTAGCAGGTACAATACGTTTCGAAAGCACCGAATGTAAGTTTAATTACACAACAATGGTGTCGATGTCTATTGTCAAATTATATTATTACTTATATAATGTTATACACAGAACTGGGGAAAGAAAATTTTTAAATCAGTCATTAAAAATATAATAAATAAATACACATCCCAAATACACAAACTCATCCACTTGCTCAATTAACTCTCCTTCTATTCTTATTTCACATACCGTTTTGCTTTCTTCTCTTTCAAAAACCATCACTTTCGTCTTACCTGCGTTCACTTTCATTCCCCTTTCTTTTAATTCCCAGTTCATTCATGTAACCATCATTTGCAACTCAGCCGCCGATGACGCAAATATGACTTGATCATCGGCATACAAAAGGCATTTGACGGTTAACTCGCCCATTCTTAACCCACATTCTTCATCTTTCAAAGTTTGCAAACACCTGTCCATAAATAGGTTGAACAGCCAAGGGGAAACTACACAGCCCTGTCTGACACCTTTTTGGATGCCAAACCAGTCCGAGTAGACCCCATTGATCCTGACACAAGCATTACAGTCCCTATAAAGAGACCTTAATGCCTGTATCAAACCAGCGCTCAACCCATATGAGTTCAGTGTTTGCCATAACACATTCCTGTCCACTCTGTCATAAGCCTTTTCCAAGTCCATGAACGCACAAAAAACTTTCTGGTTTTTGGCCAAAAACTTCTCCGCAATCATGCGCATGGAAAAGACTTGATCTGAACACACCATTCCCTTTCTAAAACCCGCTTGCACATCCCAAATTTTTCCATCAGTGTCTTTCATAACTCTTTCAATTAACCCCTTAGCATACAGTTTACCCACAATACTAAGCAAGCTGATACCACGGTAGTTTTTGCAGTCCTGCTGTGACCCTTTTCCTTTATATATTGGTACTATAACTGCTTTACACCAGTCATCCGGTACCCGGTTTGATTCCCAACATAAATTAAACTAGGTGTACAGCAGGCCTGCCACCACTCCCTCTCCAGCCCTTAGCATCTCGAGTGATACTCTATCATATCCAGCTGCCTTACCTGCTTTCATGCTTTTCATTGCTTTTATTATTTCATCTACACTTATCTCCATACCCCTTTCCACTTCTTTCGGAATTTCTAGTTCATTTAATCAGGGTTTCCGATACTTTTTTTGCCGCCAGGCGGTGCTTCGTATGCGTCAGGTCCAAACAGCTGTCAGATAGCACAGATTCCTACCGAACGTATTATTTTTTTTAGTGAAATTTTATGTATTTGGAAGAGTTATTGATTTTATTATGGATTACGGCCAAAGAAAGGTTGCCGAACTGAAAATTGAGCTCAAAAAGAGAGGCGCAAAAGTCACTGGTACTAAAGAAAAGCTCATTGAAAGGTAAACATAATCTACTTCTATTTGTTTCCACAATTTGATTGTTTTTTTTTAACTACTAAATTGAAGTTATTTGTGTTTTAGTGAGTTGTTGTTGATTAATGTATATTATATATTCCAGGCTAAATGACTATGACAGAAACAACAACTTCAAATCAAATGAAAATGATAATTCTCATCTCTTAAGTGAGATTAATTATGTAATAGAATGGCCAGAAGAAAAGTTATACAAAAGTGTAGATTCAAAAACAGTTTTACCCAATTTTGACATTATTAACATAAATACGTATTTCCTTGAATTGTATAAAGACGGCATAGGAATGTCAGATTATTCTGCAGTGCACAGAAGAGGTTATAATATGCTGCAAAATAACTACCTACTCGCATTAGTGACCGCAAATACTAGTACACATATATTTTTCAAAGGTCAAGTCCATTCTGAAAATACAAAAGCCCTCACTTATTTTGCTTCCATTGCCATATGTAATGGAAGTGGATCTATTATACAATCGGTGTGTGAATGTGTAGCAGGGAAAGGACCAAAAGCCATTTGCAAGCATGTGTCAGTTTTGTGCTATGCTATACTCAAATTCCGAGAGCAGAATATATGGTTAATTAAAATGACTCCAACACAAAAAAAACAAGTATGGCATGTACCTAAAAAAAATAAACTTGATGTTTCGCCGAAAAAAGCAGAGAACCTTTCATATGAAATAGCAGAATATAATGTTTGCAAAAAAAAAGAAAAGAAGTGTGTGCTATGATCCAAGACCACAGTCCTTTATCAGTCAGGGAAAAGAATGGGCTACAACAGTTAGAAATAAAGTCATTAACTACTGCTCATTGTCACAAAAAAGAATAGGATTATGTGGAATTTTGGACAGTGCAAACATGCAAGATGTGATACATGACCATGATTACCTACCTTTTCCTTTACATCATCAACTTATTCTTAATAAAATATCTGTAAGCCATTTATTCCAGATGAATTTATTTATTATAGTAGCTACGACTTGTACAATCTTATTGACTGTACTGTAGCAAGCGAGGTGGTGAATCATGAGAAGTTGTAGCTACTATATTTTTTTATTATTTAGTATATTATGTAATCATCAATATTAATTGCACTTGCATAGGGATTGTAGATGTTTGTTTAGGTTTATACTTTCATACTTTCCTTATCCTTTGCCCCTAACAGGTTACACCTGACTCAGCAAAGGAAATTGAAAAGAAAACTAAAAATCAGACGAAGACAAAGTTATGGCATACAGAACGATCTTTTCGAGTGACTGCTTCAAGAGTCGGTGAGATTTGTAAATTTACTGCTAAAAAGGACCAAGAAAAGTATGCACAAAGCCTTATATGTAATAAGAAAATAGTAAGCACGGCCTTAGAATGGGGCAAGTCTATGGAAACCACAGCAATTGAAGCATATGAGGGGAAAACTGGAAAAAAAGTAGAACGCTGTGGTTTATATGTTTCTGTGCAGTACCCTTTCATTGGCGCTTCTCCTGATGGATTAATTGGAGATAACAAAATTTTAGAAGTTAAATGTCCATATTCCATAAAGGATGAAATGATTGGATCCAACAATTATTTCCATTTAGAGCATGATTTGCAACTGAAAGAAACAAGCAACTATTATTACCAAATCCAAACGCAGTTACTTGTCACAGGAAGAGATTGTTGTGATTTATTTATATGGACTAATGTTGATGAAAAAATAATAAATGTTAAAAAAAATGATTCATTTATACAAAATATTATAATCCCTCGAGTAAAAGCTTTCTTTTTTCAATTTATGTTGCCAAAGATAGCAAAAAATATGTATGATTGTTAATATATTTTTATAGTATATTGTAAGATTCTATGTGATAGAAATTAGAACAAAGTTTAATTTTGTATTCTTGTTATTATTTAATAAAGTATGTTTAATACAGTACTGTTAAAAGCGACATCAATTAAATAAAATTGAAAAAAACATATTTTACTTTATAATATTATTTTTGAAATTGGTTAACATAAAACATACAAATATTATTCTATCTGCTAAAGGCACCAATTTTGAATCCAACTTGCCGCTTAAGATCTTAAAAGTTTTAGCCAAACCAATGACCCTTTCAACGTGTATCCGTTCTGAAGATATATTTTTTGACCTTGTCAGTTGAGAAGTCTCAAATTGTCCATCAGTATTTTTTAAAAATTCTGGCACATTAACTGTAACATCTTTATGGCACACTAGGTCTTGTACATTAAAGCCACGGTCACTAAAAATGATATCATTAGGTTCAAGTTTATCAATAAGTCCACATTTTTCAAACAATTCACGATCACTCGTAGATCCACCATATGCATCGGATACAAATGTAACGCAGCCTGATGCTGAAATCCCAATTAAAACTTTTAGAGTATTTGCTGATTTGTAAGTGGAATATGTAAGCTGTTGTGTAAGTGGATTTTTGGGCTTCTCTATTTTTATTTCCGTGCAATCTACTATCACAGTGCATGGATTAATCTTGCCATAGTATTTCATATTTTTATCTATGCATTGTTTTGGCACCCAAACATTTAACTCTTTCAATTTACAATATAAGTAATTGATCCATGTTATGAAAATGTTACTTAGTACCGTTTTATTAATCTTCGATCGAAAGGCGAGTTCTGTAAATAGCATGTTCCGGCGTAATTTAATTAACACTAGAAGGAATTGATCACAAGGGTTTAGAAACGGCACCTTCAATGTTTTCAGTTGAGGATAATATTTTAAACAATTTACTTCATCTCCAAAAATACTAAATATGAATTTGATATGTTCATAATCTTGGAAACCAGTATAAAACTGTACTTCGGCCGCATTGGTTATATCTAGCACATTTGCAATTGAAGATTTTTTATTTTTATTTTCATTTTGAAGACATTCTTTAAGTGTTTTGAGATTATCACTTCCACATAAATCACATTGGATACCAACATCATTCTGTTTCTTCTCGAATTCAATTTCTACTTCGAAAAAGTTTGTAGTTTCCATGAGGAAGGTGTCATCCTTCTCTTTTTCATTGTTTATGTGTACTTGGACACTAATTTTCCTTTCATTTCGCGCCAAACGCCTTTGATGCCGCTCCTTCTTTTTTTGATGCAAACTAGAATTTTGGTCAATCCATGGGAATCGACTTGGCACTGCACATTTTTTCAACACAGGCCTGGCTGGAATAATAATTCAATAAATATAATGTCATAATGAAATCATTTTTGATAAGGCAAGTACTAAAAAACGTTTACACTACATCATTGAAGGTTAGTCGCGCACAGATATAATCAAGGTGACTTAACTGAAGCTTATCATTATAAATAAGTACAAAATATTCTTACGTTTTTCTAATACTGAGTCCTTCGGTAGCTGGTAATCATCCTTTGTGAAGTGGCTTTTGCAAACGAGGCTATTTTTCGTTGGAGTAAATTTATCTCTGCGAATGGCTACAAGCCACTGTTTTAATCGGTTTTTATCTTCTGTAGGGAACTTATGCCCTCCTTTTTTATTTGCACACATAGGCACTGCACAACACTGTGGCATTTTGGAAAACAATATTCTGTTTGTAACGTTTTTAAGGATAAATAAACCAAAAAAATGATCGAAAAATATAAATCGTGTAAGTGTTTTGACAGGTAGTTGGACCTGACACTACAGCGCTGCCATCTCACGGGGAACATTTCAGAAAACCCTCATTCAGACGACTCTTCACTCATAAACACGCTTTCAAAGTATTCCTTCCATCTGTTTAAATTCGAAGCTTCATCATTCAGAATACATCCATTCTCGTCTCTTATAGCATTCATTATAGGCTGTTTTGTATTTCCCCTGGCAGTTCCTACGAGTTTCCAGAACATTTTTATGTTCTTATCCTATCATTCTTATCCGTTCTTTCTTTCTTTTTCCTTTCAACAACTTCTTTTACTCTCTTATTTATACGTCTAAATTCTGCCTTTTTTCTTTCAATCTCATCATTCATACCATAAGAATTACCAGCTTTGGTTGCTAGTAAATCTTACCATGCTTTCTTCTTTGATTCAACTTCCACCCTTACCTCATCATCCCACCACAACTTATTACTTTTCTTTTCATTTGTTCTCTTACTTACACCACATACTTCAGTGGCGGCATCCATCAAACCTTTCTTAATATTGTCCCACACAGTATTCAAGTCTAAATCATTCATACACAACTCATTCAAACATCTAATATTTCCTCTCAGTCTACATTTATACTTCTCTTTCACATCTCCATCTTGTAACTTTTCAATTCTTATACACTGTAAAGCAGTGGTAGACACAGATGTCCGATGCCGCCAACGCTTGAAAAGACCATTAATTCGACATAAGACCATGTAATGATCCGTCCCTACGTTGGACCCCCGGTAAACCCTTGTATCTACGACTGCGCTCCTCATTCTTTCATCCACAATTACGAAATCTATCATGCTTGTATCATCACCTCTTTCCCATGTATACTTCTTATGACGAAAAAAAGTATTCGTCACAAAAAGATTCTTTTCCACACATACGGTGAGGAGGTAGAGGAGACCATAGAAGTCTTAAATTTGTTACCCTTAATAATGGTACATAGAGGTTATATCCTTCATTGGATCACAGTGTGAACTTAGTTTTCCTCCGTGACAATTGTTGGAGTCCTTTTAAAATGACTTAAACGTAGACCTCAAGGTTGTGCGCACAACCCAAGGTACATTTTACCTTGATATAAAAAAATATGTACCAATAAAATAAAATGAATGTTACAAAAAATGTAATATAATACCCAAATAAATGGGGGGCCCATATTTATAAAGTACCCGCGTGATAAATATCAGGAAATAAAATGAAATAAAACTCGATTCCCGGTATCTAATAGATAAATAAATACATAAGTGAAAAGAGAGAAATAGAGCTAGCTACTACGGTCACTTAGTAAACATCCAATGCGTTTCGTCCGTTGAAATTAATGATTATTCAGTGTTTAAATTGAAGTGCACTACCAAAATCCCTCACCTAAGTGTAGTCTATTGTGTGACTACTTTCATAAATCATCGAATAATCGTGGAGTCAACCAAGCTCCATTTCTCTGCTCGAGGGCGCTAGATTCTTTACCATTCTAACCATTCAACCGAATTTGAACTTGATGCAGTATGGCAAACTTTAGTTCCTTTTTTCGCCACCCGCAAAACAGAGAACTAGAATTCACTACTGCGGACGTCACAAAAATGGACACTATTGCACCTATTGCGTATTTACATTAAAATTTTGAAAATATTGCACTTTATCCTCATTTTAATGTACTAAAACTGTGAACAATGAACAATTACACATATTTTAACACAAAACTGACAGTCAAATCTAAAATTTTACGTACATTTCAAGTCAACTCTCCTCAACCAGCATGTTAGTTCTAAGATAGCAGTTTGCTTCATACATATTAAAAAACGATTTTACACGTACTTAATAAGATAAAACACAAAATGAGATTACAAATAAGAAGGTTACTTACCCAAGCACTGTTTTAACACAATTCACCACACAATAAATATAAATTTATACAAAATAATTACAAACAACTTCATTGTTAGCGCGCGTCAATCACACTAATGGCTGACTCAAGGAACGGACGACATTTAAGAATGATTTAAATAAAATATACTACTAAAGTGTATAAGCTGTGGGGTTTTTATGCTAGCCTTTTTTATCCTGTACACATTGACATATGGTAGAATGAGTTAGAAATAGCGCATAACGCTTTGTTTCTTCATTAAAAGAGCGAGTAAAAAATGTCTAACACTTGGACACCCGCAGTCAACGGAGATATTTTCGTGTCCAAGTCTTGGACATCCGCAGTTGAGAGGTTAGTATAACCTAAGAATTATGTGAAAACGACCGGTGCAGTAATTTTCTAACACGTGGCGTTTTGTATAAAACCGTGACCTACGACAACTCGCCGCTTACTCGCTGTGACGTAGACGGTCTCATTGTATCGTTAGGCCGTCCGCACAGTTATCAAGTCTACAAGATGGATTCATATAGCTGCGCCGGTTGTAAAGGTGATATATTATCAAGTAATGAATTTATAAGTTGTCATGGTTGTAAATTAAAGCACGATGTGTTGTGTGCAAACTTGTCACCAAAGCGATTTAGGAAAATGAGCCTAGAAGCTAAAACTCAGTGGAAATGCTCAGAGTGCAAAAGCAAGCAACCAAAAACAGGCAACTTAGATATACCAATTCACTCTATTAGTCACTCCAAGATTGATGACAAAGTTAAACCCGAGTATCTATCTCAAGATTGTAATGTAACTGTGCGAAGCAATAGGTCAGTGGACTCACAACTTTCTCAAGAAAAATTCAAAGAAATCCTAAAAAAAGAACTGATAACTGAAATTGAGGCCATGATTGAAAAAATACTGACTCGAATGGTATCAAATCAGCTGAAGGATATAAATAGTCGCTTTGTCGAACTTCAAGAGTCTATGACCTATATTTCTGGACAATATGATGACTTAAAAAAGCACCTAGACTCCACCACATCGGATTTGCAGTGTGATACAGGATGATAACAAATTCCTCAAAGAACAATTAAATCACCTCACAACTCGTGTGAAGACTCTGGAAGACGATAATACGAAGCAACAACAGTGGGCTAAATTGCAAAATATCGAAATCACTGGCATACCAGAGGATAAGGATGAGAACACATTAACTATTATACAAAAGATTTCGAAGCATATTGGAGTCTCAATCGAACCCTCTGAAGTGGAGTTTGCGCATCGCGTGCAGCCGCGGCGTGCCACAAGCACCGTGCGTGCGCGCCCTATTGTCGCTCGGTTAAGGCATCGTTTTACTAAAGACAAAATAATAGCCGCTGCACGCAAACATCGTAATTTAAAAGCCAGTGATATGGGGTTTGGATGTGTAACTAATATAATTTTTATAAATGAGCATGTAACAAAAGAAAATAAAATGCTTCTTTCACCGTGCAAACAAAAAGTAAAGGAACTAAATTACAAATTCATTTGGACAAAAAACTGCCGTATTTTCGTTCGAAAAAACGAGGCTTCACCTCCAATCTCCATATTTTCTTCGGCAGATATTGTAAAAATTATTTAAAATTTACTTACCTGTTTATTCTGGGTACTTTGAAGCGGTTTTCGTAAATTACTTGTGAAAAGGTATGCACTTGTTACAAATTCTATGCTTTTTTATCAGCTAATACAACTAGATACACTGTACACTATCAAAAACTCACACACGTATCATACATTATTCTCACATACATTAATAAACATTACCAAAATCACATATACCTGCACTCATCTAACGCTTTACTTATATACATATATTTATTACATTCTCAAATATAAATACAGAATATCCTTTAAAAGATATAATGTTATTTATTATCGATTAATAAAAACATATTTACAAGTAAAATTTACACATTTATTAATCATTTATTACTTATTCTTACTAAAAACTATTATTAACTGTAATTATTCATGTCTTACGCCTATACCTTGCTAAATTTTTATGTACCTTGATTATGTAATTGTTCACTATAACTATTATAAGTACTGGCATAGTCAACTGTTTTTTCAATGGATACTACACTGAAAGAATTAAAACTGTATTATCAGAACGTACGGGGTTTGAGGACTAAGACTAATGAATTTTATAATAATTTACTATTGCTTGATTATGATGTGGTTATGATAACCGAAACTTGGCTTTATGACGGAATCCTGGATTCAGAACTATGTAATGATAAATATAATGTGTTTTGTCGTGACCGTGGGTCGTTGGGAGGTGGGGTCATGTTATTGTGTGCACCATACTTGCAGGCCCGTATAAGATCTGAATGGCATTGTGATAACCTTGAGAGCGTTTGGGTGACGGTTCCTTCTAGTGCTGTGAGATTAGAGCACGACCTCCACATAGTTTACATACCCCCTAACTCATCACTCTCAGAGAGAACTAGACTGTTTGTAAATATTATTTCACAAATACGTAATAATCATCCCAATGATCAGTTTATACTTGTAGGTGATTTTAACCTACCGTGTATAGACTGGACACAAGATGGACCTGTCGTACTCAGGAAGGGCTCTGCTGAAGTCCAGAATTCTGCATCACAGATCATTGAACATACGGCTTTCATAGGTCTTATGCAATATAATACCATCTTAAATAATAGTAATAAAATACTAGACCTAATTTTTTCAGACTCGTCCGTCACTGTTAGTAGATCCAACTTCCACCTTGTTAAAGAAGACTTTCACCACCCTTCACTCATTATAACTGTGTCAGATATACTCATACCTCCCTTGAAGATACAATCGCGATCAAAGTATGCGTATATGAGCGTGCTGACTTTAATATCATTAATGAAATGTTAAATCAACAGGATTGGTCGTTTATATTAGACACTAACTTAAATATTGAGACTATAATAGCTGGTTTTTATGCAATTATAAATAACTACATAGAAACATATGTTCCTCAGGTTTACCACTCTGGTGTGTACACATATCCCATC